CCCCACACCAGCTCCAGCCCCCCCTTCTCCCTTCCCAACCAATTCCGTGCCTTCTCCCCGGAGCCAGTAAGTCTGCCCCCCCCCCTCTTTACCCCCAGCCCTCCACACGACGGATCGGCCGGCAAGCAGCCCACGACGCCGCAGCACAACCAAATTCCTTTGCGGTTCCCTGAGGAGAGCCGTTCACGTGGTGCGAATCGACCGGAATCGACTGTGAGACGGATGTGACGAGGACGAGGCAAGTGCTGCACCCCGCACTGCACAGCCGCCCTGGCGCCCAGAAGCGCATCGTCCGGCTTCGCGACACATCAGCGCATCCCTAGCGAGGCAGGGGGGGGGGGGGCACCAGCCCGCGCGGCTGGACTAAAATTGTGTCGGCGTTGGCCGATCGCCGTGATTATTTTGTAATTCTGAGAGGCATCTTAGGGGGACTGAGAACCCCCTCACGCCCCCTCAAGAGATGAGCGAGGTCTACTCTCTTGTTTTCAAGAATCCGCTTCATATTGCGGGTGCCGTGCGGGGGAACATGTCGAGTATGCCAGAGTCGTCCGCGGACAAGACTTCGAGAACGGAACCGCATCACACTACTCTGCTGCAAGAACAAACTGTTTACTGACATAGCGCAATCTTTTCCTTCCCGAGCAGGTCTGCTTTGCGGGACGGACGCGGACAACACATATTTGCCGGCTCGTTAGAGGACAATACTGTGTCAACCAACGGCCATCTCCGCAAAACAACAACAAGGGGGGCACGAAAGCTGTTCTCCACGATACACTGCAAAGGAAACAGCCTGTCGCCTCAATCAGAGACCGTGAAAGCCCGCTGGGCGCACGCATGCCGCGCTCGCGGCTCGGGAGGCGCCGACACGCGACAATTAAGCCCACAATTATAGAATTAATCTGCAGGACGCCAGAAGACGTCAGCAAGAAGTACTAGTGTCGGCCGGCAGGCGAGCGACGAGGTGTTGCCCTCCCGCCCTAGCGTCGTTGTGCTTCAAGCACCTTACTACTGACCCCAGCTTGCCTCGAATGAAATACAATTCAAAATATGTATTCGTAGGTTGGACGTGGATATTTTCCCTGCAAAATGTTCATGATACGCAAATTCGAAGGCCAAAGTACAGTGGTTGTTGTAAATAATGCAACGACTCATACTTTACAACATTGTTCCTTAATTTACAATTATCACAAATATGTGGTTGACTTACAAATATTTTACAGAGTACGGAAAACGGAATAGGGAGAAGGGGGACGGAGGGGCATAAGGATGTTTGAGGCGCGGGGCGGCCCTATTGGCGCACAATGCCTTGAGTTGTGGTATAGTGACTCAAACGGAAAGGGGAGGCGGAGGGGCATAAGGATGTTTGAGGCGCGGGGCGGCCCTATTGGCGCACAATGCCTTGAGTTGTGGTATGGTGACTCAAACGGAAAGGGGAGGGGGGGGGGATTTGTCACGACTAGAAGGGCGAGTCAAGCCGGGCATGCATGTTCTATCTACTTTTTGCCTTGTTATTGCTTAGTTAGCTAACTAAAGAAGTCCCACGACTTCGAAAGAAGCAGTCCTTCTCCCGTAATCTCTGCGAGAAAGATCCAAGCAAGCACCCTGGGAGGTAGGCAGACGCAGCGCTGCTGTGCGCGCCTGTTGGGCGGGCGGCCTACCCCAGAGCTGCGTGCTAGGGACCGCACGAAGGGGCCGCCGCCGGAGCGCCGTGGAGGTAGGCAGACGCAGCGCTGCAGCGCGCGCCTGTTGAGCGGGCGGCCTACCCCAGAGCTGCTTGCCAGGAACCACCACCCACCACACCGGGGAGCTCGCACAGCGAGTACCTTCCACTTATAAAACGGTTAACACGACTGCTTTATTCGGCCTAAATAAAACGTGCAGCGATTTGTGCTCTTGTGCTAACAGCACCAGTCTTTCGGACGTCCTTTCCGAAGGCGTGACGCAAAAGTGTTCGAGCAAGCAGCGCAGCGGCGCAGCAGCCGTCCAGAGATGACTTCATGCGCCGGGCATCTCCCCCCCTGAGGCCGTGCGCCGCGGACGGGCTGGCCGGCTGGCCCCGCACCGCGGCGTGACATCAGTTTAACCTCAACCCGTCGCGTGTAGGAACCTCGAAGCAGAGTTGTGTTCTTTTCACGGCAATGCCTCGGTTGTTTCTACTGTGCTTGAAGAGATTGTCGTCGGGAATAATGTTATTGTGCAACAACAAAGCCTTTTCCATCGGGGTTAGTTCAGTAGCCCCCCCCCCCCCCTCTTTTCTCCCACCACACAAACACACATTGGTTTCGAAAGCGACCCTTCACCCCAGCACCAGGAGGGGGAGGGGGGTTGGCGCCCGCTCATGTATGTGTGCCTGGCCCTGTATCGCACATCTCACTTGCACTCACTCAACTCACGGCTACGTCGAGGTTGTCCTTTCGCCGGATTGTAGCAAGACTGCAGCAGATCACAAGCAGGGGCTGAGCAGCTAATGAAGCAGCAACGCTGACAAGGGTTGGCAATGCATACATCGAATAGCTTGCGTAAAGCGGGGTATTGAGGCATTTCTGGAGGCCCGGTACAGAAAGACTGGCACTTCTCCATCCCATTCTTCCAAAAAGACCAGGAGGGCTATGGGGTCTCGCCAGAAACCAGTCATCGATCGCGCCACACAGGCACAACCCAGTGGGCTCGTCCACAATGTACTCCTTTTATCTCAAAAAGATAGGTCAAATTACGGTGGCTCGACGCCTGCGGGACTCCGGGTATTCTACTCCACTCCGCTGTACCGGGTGTAACTGAGAATGCGCAACAGTGTTGCGGGTTTGCCTACCCAGTTAGCCCGTAAGGCGCCATGGACCCTGCAGCCCTGGCGGGTATGCAATCCCGCAACACTGTTGCGCATTCTCAGTTACACCCGGTACACGAGCGCACTTCAGGCAAGATGTTGCCAACCTATCAGGCGCTATGAGAGTTTACATATTAAATGTTTACGTAAAGGTGAGTAGGCAGGCAAACCGACGCCCGCACTGGCAAATTTTTTAAGATGAAAATTTCGTCAATACCAAAATGGGCGTAAAAGATGCCAAAAATTTGGCAGAGTGTTCCTCTCTCTGCCTCTCGCACAAAATTCCCATCGCCCCCCTTTTTCTCTCCCCTCTCCCTCATGATCAGCAGCGAGTTCGCGGCATTGCGCGCGTGGCAAGAGGCAGCCCATGGACTGGGCGGGCCCAGCTCTGCAGCGCAGAAGCAGCCCATGGGATGGGCTGTGCGAGCTGCCGCGACGAGGCGTGGCGCGCTGCACCGAGCTGCGCACCGCGGAGAGTCAACGCCCTCCGCGCAGCCGCGTCGCAGCGCAGGGGAGAGGTGTTTGGCGGGGCGTGCGCTCCGCCACACGATTTGCAGCGTGCTCCGGGCGCGTTTTGTTTTGGAGAAACAAGTAGGTCGCAGCTCTGTCTACGCGTTCCTATTTTCGCATGTTCGCAACAACCTTGCAATGCTTGTATCTGCGCATGGTCGTGAGAAAAACAGAGCGAATGGCAGACGACAGTTTGAGTGGGACCCCCCCTGCAAAGAGGGATTTGATGGTGCTCCGCTTAGCAGTTCCGCTACTCCTCTCCGGCAACTCCTTGTGATTAAATGATAGTTACACGTTTGTGACGTGTCAAAATTGCATGAGTTTAGAAACGCACGAGGTTTGCGTAGATTCGTAACTTTGACTTGGCTGCCCCCCCCCCCCCCCCCCCCCCCCCCCCCCCCCCCCCCCCCCCCCCCCCCTCCCCTCACCACACACACACACATCGAATGATGAGACGATCATCGCTGCCGTCTCACCGCACGCCAAGGCAATGCTAGCCGGCTGGTGCAGCGCGCCTTGTACGAACATATAACATGCTCCACACAGTGCGACCTGCGCAGTGCGAGCCCAAATACGTCCATGTGAAGGGCGCCCGGTGGCAGGCGGTGGCAGGCGGGGCTGGCGCGCCGCTTCGCATGTCCGTCATGTTCGACCAGCAGCCGGCCGGCCGCAGCGGGCCTCCCTGGGAATAAGGTCACCAACAGGACACCCTTTACGATAAGTTCCCAAGGGGTCGAAGCAGCAGCGCGCTTCCAGGTAGGCGTCCAAGGATGTCCCCTGGAATCGGCTCGGTCTCGGTATGCTGCCCACTTTTAGGGACAGCAGTAAACTCAAGGCTCAAAGAAAGATGGAAATGGGCTCTCTCTAGGTAATGCATACACTGGAAAATCAATCGCAAAGCTCATGTGAACGAATATATTCGCACGAGCGCTGTAAAAATTTCTTAATAGTCCCGAGCCCTGCACCAGAGTAGGGTCGTGTTATTTTTTTTGCACGGCTGTGCAAACGCAGATTGCTGAAACAGCGCGGCGGCGAGCAGCACACCGAACGACGCACACAGAAGTGCACAGGCGATGTTTGCGATTTTTGCAGAGGTATGATGGCCGTCCCGCAAGTAGTACATACGATACAGCACAAAAATGAGCGAAGTACGCTTACGCATTCACATTGTGCTATCCCAAAAAAGATCAAGATTTAGAAGGCGCGAGGCCAGGCCCAAAGCCAAATTACGATTACTTGCATTGCACTGGGTGTTTTATTTTCTCTTGACCTCTTCTACAAATAAGGCACGCATTTTTGATCCAGTATTATTATTTTAGTTGGCGATGACCGCCATAGGGATATCCCCATCCCCCTTCCCTCCCCTCCTTTCGGACTCAAAGGCCGGAAGTACTGACATGCCAAACTAGTCCCGACGGAGGAGGAACCAGCCACCCGGACCCGGAGGAGCTGAACCATCGCGCACAGATGGTTATCCGCCCGCAGGCCGTTTGCTTCTCTTCACCTTAATTGGAAACGCCGCACCACGGCGTCATGACATGACCACTTCGTGACGAAACTATACACACACCACACACTACAGAACACAACCATATACAACCAGTACACAGCTGCTTTCGAAAGAGGTAAAAAGAAAATATTTTTGTTTTATAAACCGAACACAAACCGTTGTCTGTGTTACGCTGTATTTGCAGCCCTGCTGCTGGTACCTGCTCACTGCACAGTGTGCAGTACGTGACGACAGGAGTGGCACGAGTAGAGGAGCCGATAATCACCTGGAAACACAATGAAATCAAAATGTATTAGATTCTATAGAAAGTTAGGGGGAAAAAGAGTTGGGAAATCCCAAAGGACTTTAGCAATAATTTTTACGAGTGTTCCTCCGTGAAATCCCAGATTTTTTTCTAACAGTGTTTCTGTGCACATCAGCTTTTGTCTGAGATTAATTCCATCTTAGCTTGTACACATTGTACTACGGAAATAATACAAACTAGCTGTCCAAAGAAAACAATGTGCACAAAATTGGCATAAAATTCTCCTTCCCATTTAAAGTGAACTCGGTAGGTAAAAGAAGAAGAAATCGTGTCGTTTATCAACTCAATCAATTTGCAATCGATAGTATTTTCACCGATTTTAACTGTTGGCATCGGCCATATTGGTGAAAAGGTGACACGACTATCCAAGGATACTCCAAGCACCCCTTCCCATCTCCCCGGACGTGTCAGTGCGACACCAGCGCGCTTTGCGCAAGCAGTTGTTCACGTCAGGTACTTTGTTTTCCTCGTTTCATTTCCGCAAGGCGTCGCTTTGCGTCGCCCTCTGTGCGCGACGCCCCTTCCTGGCCGGCCGTCCTTCCTGCCACCTGCACGTCGCGCCGCTTATGCCTCCGTTCCTTTCCTGCCAACTTCACAATCCAGCCTACGACCCTGATGCTGACGAATCTTTTGCGTCGTCGTGTCACATCTCCGCACTGGAGGTGCCTTTGAAAACTCTCCACTCTCCACAAACATAAGTATGGTACATTCGAACTTCAAGAAGTGCATTCCAGTCATGTCACACACAAAAGAGTGACCATGTCAAACTTTTTAATATAAACCACACTTTTCTATACCTGGCACGATGATCAAACACTTTTCAGTGGCATCTTGGCACGCCCCATTACGTGTTCGAATGTCACACGCTTCTATTAGTGGAGAGGGCAGTAAACACTTGGCACCTTTTTTTTTCTGTGTTTCGTGAGCCTAGTACATCACACGTGTCGTGTAACCACAAAAGCAGTGCACTACCATTCGCTCTCCTCCCTCCCCACCCCTAGGCCCACTGGCTGCATGGACCCCCCGCGAGCTCACGCCAGCAATTACCGCCAACAATAATGAAAATAAAAATGAAAATAAGTACAAACAGAGATAGATATCACCAATTAGCTGCAGATGAGCTGTGGGCATCGGGGCGCCGTGCGTGACGGGAGCCGCGCGACCCTATCCAGAAATAATTAGCGCACTCCGTTGGCCAAGGACCGTGTATAAATAAAACAGGTGGATCATTTTTATCTTCATATCGCGTGGAATTCTCAAATAGTAGGCCCGTAGAGAAGAGGGGCCCGTGACGTCACAGGAGCGGACAACATGGGGGTAATGGGGTGCGGGTCGCCGAGGAACGTGACCGAGGGTCACGCGCTGGGCTATAGCCTCGATCAGTCGTTCTGTTGTACAATATACAAGGTGCCCAAAGATATTTATTTTTGAAATTTGGGACAAAATAATGGTGTTGCAGGCGGGGCTGTTCTCTTTTGTTCAATTTTGATAAAGGCTTTGTCCTCACTTCACTTCACTACACAACTACACACAGCATGTATATTTTCCATATGCCAGGTGGCTGGTTAACCCAGCTCACTTCTGCATGCTGTACCGCACGCACGAGTGCGGGCGGGCTTGCCTATCGCCCCCGTCCACGGCGCGGCGCCTTACGGGCCAAGCGAGTAGGCAACCCACCCGCACTCGTGAGTTCGGTACAGCATAACTACAGAAGTGAGCGGGGTTAATCAGCAACCTGGTACCTCTGATTTTGAAACTGAACTGGTGGACCCTCGGGAACAACCAGTGGAGAGCTGAGAAAATTTGTGAATGATATGGTTCTTACGAAGCCCAGCCCACGAACGCGTATAAAGAAGCGTCAGTGATCACAGACATCACATCACATGCAGACCCCATAGCAAAGCGCCGGAAGCCGAAGCCGCGCCCGCGCGCTGCCGGCATCATAAAAGAATTCCTTCCTAAAGCTTCCCCCGTCCGAAAGTATCACGAAAAAGGAGAACGAACGCTATTCAGACTTTTAACGAGGACGCAGCCGCCTCCAAAAATGCCATAATAATAATACAACTTCTGTTACGGACGATGGCGCGGGCAAACACCGGGCAAACACCGCGCTAAGAGCAAGAGCCCGCCGGGGGCCCCTCCCCTCACCCGCTCCACACCGCCCGCTCCGCTACACTCCGTGCTGCGCCACTCATTAGCCGCGGCCTGGAGAAGGGAGGCATCATCCAAGTGAGACAAATTAAAGGCGAGCGGCCAGCGAGGGACCGCTGCTGGACTCGTGCGAGAGAGAGAGAGAGGCGGCTGCTCATTGAACACGTGTATGCGAGAGCGAGAGAGATGACTTAGAGTTTTTCTTTTATTTCCTAGTCTTTGCACTCCTCTTGCGCCCGCGCACAAAGGGATTGGCGCTGTTCGGCGCCCTCTCTCCTCTCTCCCTCGGCAGGCGCTTGCTGGACTGGACGGGTTCCGCCGCCCGGAAGCACTGCATGAGGGCAGCGGAGCATGTCACGTGACTATGGGGCCGCGCGACGCCGGCTCCGCGGTACACTGTATCCTCCTAACCGTGTTGCCCCGCACCGCGGCCGTTTCCATCTAACGGATTAGATATGCGAGCCGCCCTTCCCTCCGCCCCCTCGCCTTGCACAGGTAATCCGCGAGTACAATAATGCGGTACAACGTGTGCCGGTATGGTAGCGTACCGCGCAGCTTACAACTCCCCCCAGGTGGCTGACTATCACGCCACGCACTTTCGTATACTGTACCGCTTGCACGCGAGCGTGCGGGTGGCCTAATCGCGCGGGGCCGTGAGGAGCTGGGAGGCATGGGCGGCTAGGATAGTCCCCCGTGCAGGGCGGTATAACTACGAAAGTGCGCGGAGTGAGTCAGCCACCTACAGTAGTATCTGACGCCAATAGGGCCCTTGTTGGAATCAACGGAGAAGGGGAACGCCCAACCTTCCGTCGATGACCGCGAAGCTTCTTACGCGGCTGAGATAATATGGAACCCTTCGGAGAAGGTGATCATTTATTCCGAATGTGTTGCGCATGTGCGCGACTGGGTACACACGTGACGACGCTCCGGCCCCTCCCCGCGCAGCCCGGCGCAGCCCCAGACACTGAGGGGCGTGGCGTGGCGCACTTTCGTCCACCAGATGGCGTGCCCAGGGGCCGTCCGTAACCAGGCCACGACGGGACGTAAACGGCGTGTAAGAGTGGGGAGGGCGAAGAGAAGGGGAAGGGGAGGGGAAAGATTAGGCGCCGTTCAAAAAACCAAACGGCTTTGAGATTCACGGAATCTAGTTCCGGCGCGGCCGGGGCGGCGGTGTTCGGCACTCCTCGGACATTTGGACTATGAAAATAAAACGTTGACCACACGAAGTAGCCCTAAGACACAATTTGTGGGTATGGGTAAAATCACAACTCCGAGGACCAAATCTACGACTGTTTTCCGCATAAACGCAGACTTCAGAGCTGTACCAAACCGTTGTACCGCTAAGGATAACCACGTGGTTTGTGAACCATCCCTAAAAGGCCGGCGCTCCCTACATGGCGGCAGACTTGGCTTGGCTGGCAGCTTAGGAAGGAACTTTCCAGTGCGACTCAGCTGCTTGGTAGACACCCGGTTAAAAAGAAGACTCGCTAAAGACGATAAGCGATCACGTTCTGGCGCGAATATCGACATCTACGAAGGGCATAATCGACAGTAATCGACGCGATTGTGTCGTCCAGAAGACGCAAGGAAAAATTAATTTTCGGTTTACCTCAAGGAAGTCTGCCGTTATTGAGGTTGACGTGAAGTCTTAGTGAGCGCGAAATGCACTGACACGCTTATACTAAGTTTTGATTACGTGCGAAAGATATGCGATGTGTCAGAGCGTCCTTTGTATATCTCTCTCGCCCTCATCGTGCGCGATTCGCCGGACTGCGCCAAAGTGAGGAGAGAGACAATGAAGCCAGCCGGGACTTGGTTGGCCCGTCTGCATGAGTCATCGCAGAGCTTTCTCACAGAGGGGCATTGGGCTCGATGACGAACGCCAGAGAGAGAGAGGGGGGGGGGGAGGAAAAGGAGCTCGCGGGCGCGAAGGGCGGCCAGCGCCGGAGCTCCCGGAGAGGCAATCGGCACTGACGTCATCCGCGTCACCTCTCACCACACAACATCATAAGAAGGAAGGACCAAAGGCATGCAGGTTTTAATCTTGCATTGAGCTAATGATGGGCAGAAGATACCAGAGTTGTGTTGTACTTTGGAACAAGGCGGGAGACGAAATGATCTGCCACAGGCTGTCGGAGCTGATGCAGCGAGCAGCGAGCGCCGCTGGGGGCGGGGGTGGCAGACGAGGCTTAGCAGGAGGGCGACGAGTACAAAGAGAGACTTCCAGCCACCCACTCCCTCTCTCCTCCCCCTGCAGCAACAGCCACGAGCGCTAAAGCATCGTGGCCTGCCCATGCCCCGCCATCATTAATCCAATGTGCAGAGAAAGGGGCTCTCTTCGCTAACGCCGAAAATCGCGATGTGTGCGCCTAGCCTGCTCTCCTCGATGCATCGTGATATCGTGATGGTCCATGACTACGTGAGACCGCCCCCCAAAGGACTGAACCGCGTCGCACCCCACCCAAACGTGACTCATATGCTGTCCTGGGAAAGGGCGTGCGATGGCGCGGCTGTGACATCACTGGCCATCCATCGAACAGGATACCCGATCCTGAGTCACCCGTCTCCACCCTCAGAGGTCCACCCCTTCTTGCGACGCGTCATCGCCATCTGTATGCGCGCCGAGGCGCGGCGCGGCGGATGTCTGGGCTTATCGCCAGTCAGTTCGGTTCGACGACACCACAAAAACGGGAGGGGCGGTGGGGGGGGGGGGGGGCAAAAGGGAAGGACAGGAGGGGGAGAGAAAGGCATCCGAGCGATGGGACAAGAGGCTACGGCTGCGTGGATCGGCAGGTGCACGACGCCGCACCAGCCGCCCCGCTGCTCCGGCCCACAGGTGCAGAGAGGACGCCGCCCCAAAAACGGGACCGCGCCTGACCGGAAGTAGGAAACGTGCGAGAGGCCGGAAGCGCACTGGAGTGAGTGCGCGTTCGGCAAAGAGAGGGCGGCACAAAGGTACTCCGAAAACATCACAACAACATTGTATTGCCAGCTCGTGATGAGGATGAGACGTTACCGTTCCCTTTAGGTTTTCAAGAGCAAGCCTCCCTAAGCCTCCCCTGCTCCCCCGCGCCGAGCTTGGGGAATGGGGAAGGGAGGGCCTGGTCGAGGGGAGAAGGACAAGTCTGCACTCGCACGGGCCGCACGGGGGAGGGAGGAGGGTGACTCAGACATGGAGGGGAGCTGGCCGCCGGGGGGTGAGGAGGGCGATGCACAGCCGAGCCGGGCCGAGCCCGAGCCAAACTAACCCTACCTTAACGCCCCTGCAGCCTGGGTGAGGCCCCCTTCCCCTTCCACTTCCCCTCGTCTGATCACTTCCACCGTCAACTTTGAACAATGACAGGAGTGAGGGCAAGGGCAGCGCTGACTGACGTGATCGCCCTTCCTTTTGGAACCCCTTCCCCTAGGAACGTTTGAGTTCCGTTTTGGGCTCCTCTCGGGGGTTGCAGTACCAGCTCCATCCCAACTCGATCCCTAACCCATTCAGCCCCAGCCGCGCCGGCGCGCCGGCGCAGGTAATCCAGTCCCCGACCCCACCCAAACCGACAAAGCAACGCGCTCCAGGGCTCCAGTGGGCTGTGTGAGCTGGGGCCGGGGCCACCGGCCGGGCCGGGTACGTACGTGCCCGAGTGGGTCCTGAGTGCCCTCTGTCTCTCCGTATGCCCTACACGTTCATGCACAAGTCCGCTTGTCAATGGTTTTTTGCTGAAGGTTATTGGGGTTGTCCTGCCGGTATGCAGCAGGTGTCCTTATAGAGCCCCTAGGCGAACCTTCAACCGGGAGTGTCGTGACGGCCGAGGGATATCCTCACAAGTTCGCGCCGCAGTCCTGCTAGGCACCCCACCGGGTGTCACACTACTAGGTACCCCGCCCCCCGAAGAAGCCTCCGCGGCTCGCCTCTAACTGTCAAAATTGTGTGCAGCGTGGCTGCCTCGCGCCTGGATCCAGGTCCTGCAGCACAAACTTAATCAAGAACTGACCTGTGGTTGCACTGGACTGCTCGGCGAGGATATATTCCACGAGGGGTCCTGGAGGCGGAGAGGATGTGGCACTGAATCCCTTTTCTTCACACACACGCACACACACACTTACTGAATGGAACGCGGGTGAGAGACGTGAATCGCTTACAACGGTCGGACGGCGACTGACTGGGACTGGGACTGGACTGGACTGGTGGTGGTGGTGGTGGTGGTGGTGGAGTAGCGACTGGCGGCAGCCGGCAGCAGCGGCAGCAGCAGCAGCAGCTGGCGGGCGAACGGCGAACGAAGCCGCCTCCTCCCTAAAACCGGCGCACTCGGCAACTCGGCAGAGGCAGAGCGGCAGCGGCAGAGCGAGCCGAGCCGAGTAGTCGAGCCGAGCAGCCGAGCAACCGGCATCGGTGCTGTGGCGGCGGCGGCGGCGGTGGTGGTGGCCGTGGTGCCGTCGCGACGGCGGGCTGCGGCGGAGGCGGAGGTGGTGGTGGCGGAGGAGCTGGATCAAGTGGTACTGCAGCCGCCCCCTGCCCGCCAGGCAACGGTGGTGGGCAACGGGAAAGGGTCAGGGGAGAGGGACGTACTCCAGAGCAGAATAACTTCAACTTCAACGAGGGTTATCACGACTGCTTGTTCATAGTGAACTGGAGCCACCCATTTCTAGGGTCACGCAGTTAGGCCGGGTCTGGGCGGCCCATCCCCAGCGGATAAAGATGGACTATTAAATGCGTCGGAAATGTAGGCGCATTGCCGTGTGAAATATGTATAATAATGTGCACTGGCTTCGCAGACTAACCAGCCGGTCACGAACAGTAATCCGCAGTCAAGCGCAGCATCGGATGCTCGTTTGGTCCGAAAACGATAGATAGGTAGGGAAGATTGTGATGGTCGATGCGGAACATAGTTTCCTCTCACTTCCACCTCTCGTTTTCGGACCAAATTTGGCAAGTATCCGATGCTCACTGCGAAATGAGTAAGGACGGGCCGTAGAAGAAGGGGTTTCAACTGTATTAAGCTAATTACTCGGGCAGGATAATAATCAAATTGAGTTTGCTTTGGTCTAACTGTACTAGATAGATCTTCAAAACTCTCGATGAAAACCATTGAAGCACGTAGTTGTGAAAGTATTTTGACACATGACACATCGGCGACACATTCACAGATTTACAATTTTGGCGCCACCGACAAAATCTCGGTAAAACATAAAAAGGTGCCATGAGCATTGCATTTCCCAGATGTTCTTGTCATTTTCTCTACTTTTAAGAAGTCCCTGTAACATCATTCAAAACTTCCGAAATTCTGTACTTTGAGTTAATTTCAAGCAACAGTGAACAATTGAATAATTTCATCCCGTTTTGTTTTTCTTTGGTTGGTGCCCCTTCCTAAATTTCCCTCAGGTCGACTTTTCTTTTCTTGCATTTACAAGCAGTCATCTGTTTCACATTTCACTTCCAGCAGTCCAGTTAAAATGGCGACCCCAAGAATCGGTATGATGGTGAGTGATTTGTACTAGAAATTGTATGGAATTGAGTTATATTTCATTGATTGGACCTTTTTAAATAGTGTAAAGTTTCGGGGCTGTTGCAAAGAAAGTCGAATCACTGTCTGTAATTTCGCGCACCTTTGAACGTATCTGTGGAGTGGTAGCGAACCAAGGGCAAAGATGAATAGTGATATATTAAAAAACTACATTTCGTTTTGTCCAATTTCCTACTCTTCATTGGCATTTTGCTCTCTTCCTTTCCTTATTAACGGGTAATGTCTTCTACTTTCGGACGAATTACATTCATATGGCCTGTCGAAATCGTCAAGGTTAAGGTATCGGCTGTCTGCTAGGGTCTGCAGATCAAAACCGTTTTATCAACGTTTAAACATTTAGTTGAGCCTTGACTTAGCGTTTTTGTTCTCCTGTCAAATAAATTTTTACCATGAAAACTATGCTTAGTCATGCCACATGTATGGCAAAGGTATGGTTTTCGTCTCACAGTAGAATAACCTCTCTCATTGATTTCGTTGTCGACCTGACCGTCATTTATGTTTCTGTATTTTTTTTATAGGTGAGGACATTCTCCTCCTCCGCTGTGAGGCAGGAGATGGTCAAGGTAAGTAGCATGGTATACATAATGAAATCAGCTGTTTCAGCTAGCCTTTGAGTAACAATTTTTCTTTTTCACTTGCAGCCACCAATTCAGATTTTTGGGCTGGAGGGTCGCTATGCCACAGCTCTATTCTCAGGTGCCTCCAAGCAGAAGGCACTTGATGCTGTTGAGAAGGATCTGACAAGCATACAGGTACAGTTTATCATTTGATCTGAAACTAAAATGTCTGCTATCCTATTTTTAATTTATACTTTTCTTGCAGAACCAACTCAAGAACGATGCCAAACTGATTGACTACCTTATCAATCCCAGCATCCAGAAGACTGTGAAGGTTGCTGCCATCCAGGCTGCTGCCAAGCAAACAAACATGTCGGCACCAACTGCCAATCTTCTTAGTAAGTATGATCTATTATTGTAATAGTAATATTTCACAGTTGCGATTGCGATTGCGATCAACCATCCTAACAAATATCTAATGTAGGTTTGATGGCTGAAAACAACCGTCTGAAAAACTTAAATGGCACTATTAACGCCTTCAAGCAAATTATGGCCGCTGTTCGTGGAGAGGTTCCTTGCGAAATTACCACAGCTAAGGTTGGTGTTATGTTTTATTGCTTTGCACCAGGTTTATTCTGGTTGACAGTTTTACTTAGACTTCATCAGATTAATATGAAAAATGCCCATGTGTTTGTGTTACATTGAAGAATTTATTATTTTATTTTACAGCCACTTGATGCTGCTACGCTGAAAGAAATTGAAGGTGCCCTGAAAGGCTTCTTGAAGTCCAACCAAAAAATTTTGCTCACCACCAAATCCGACCCCTCTATTATTGGTGGATTGATTGTTAGCATTGGTGACAAATACTGTGACATGAGCATTGCTTCAAAGGTTCGAAAGTATTCTAAAATTATTGCAGAAAGTGCATGAAATTAATTGTTACAGAATGTAGTGTCTCAATGTGTTATGTACATACAAAACCTCAATAAACCAGGTGTAAATTACCGATTGCCTTCTTAAATGCACCTTATCTATGGTAGAATAAAGTTCATCACCAAGAATGATTTGAGAGTCGAGCATAGCATCAAATGTCTGCTCCATTCCCCTTAAGTTGGCAGAATTTTCTTGCAAGTGTAAATGAAGTGCGGGAGAGAACTTGTCTGTTATATAACAGTGGATATAGAGAGAATCCCATTCCATTCCCATTCTCCCAAATAATCAAGTCCTTTATCTGTCTTACATGCACACGTCAGCATGGATTGGTCCAGCAATAACTGAAATAAATTTAACACCAACTGACCCAGCGTTTGAAATATTTATTGGACAATGAAAAATATTAGCTATATAATGTTTTGTGATTAATACAACCAAAACTGTGTTTATTAGAATGGTTTGTGGTCCACCACAGGCTCAATAGTTTCTCCTCCTCGAATTTGACCCCAACCAATCAACCTGAAAAAAAAAGGTGTTGTTTAAGAAAAAATCAAATAGAATACAAGTAATCTTGTTGCTCTCATTCTTACCTCCAGTGTTTCTCTACTCTCCGACTCAGGGCAATCTTCTCACCAATTTCTGTGCATACAGGGCTGGTTAAGCTAATTTTAGCCAAGTCCATTTTGGTAGCAAGAACACGTCCACCAGTGGACAGTGAGCCAATATTAACCAGTAATACTTCATTCTTTGACAGCTTTTGAACCTGAGAAGGAAAAACATTTGTTATATTTCTCTATGCAGGACACAAATATAAGAAGGACAGTACTGTATATGTGCTGCATTACCTTGGCTGCCTTCTTATCACCCTCAGTTCTTACACCAAGGAGACGTTTGAGCAGATAATAAGAAATTTCAAGTTCAATAAAGATATTAGGAAGAGCACCTACAGCTCCCAGGACCTGGCCAACAAGACGATCAGCACGGCATAATGTAGGCTCAATCTTTGTACCCACACCTGTCAACATGAGAAGATTTAACAATTGTAATATTCTTTTATTAAATACCTAATTACAGCAAAGGTTAGCACAAAACATACCAATAAGACCACCAGGTACTGCATACTGCAGTTCATTCTGCTCTGTGTAAAGTGACACAATTCTTGAAAAGATTGGGCGGCAGGTCAGTTTACCTTCTGCATCTTTTGATACAAGACCTGGTCGAACCTCAATTTCCATGCCAACCTTAAGCACACCACGAAGAATACTTCCACCAGCAACTCCACCTTTAAGGTCATCCACTTCACAACCAGGCTTGTTGACATCAAAAGAACGAATGACAATTAGACGTGGTGCCGACATAAAATCACGAGTTGGCACAGGTATTTTCTTCATGATGTACTCGCATAAGACTTCAATGTTGTACTTCAACTGAGCAGAGATGGGAATAACCGGAGCTCCCTCTGCCACAGTACCTGAAGGAAACAAATTGCTGTCAGTTTACAAAATAAAGCTGTCAAACATATTCTCCCATCCTAAATAAAATCAATGTGAACCATACCTTGAACAAACTTGAGAATTTGCTCATACTGCTCCTTAGCTTGTCCCTCCTTAACCAGATCTATTTTATTCTGCAGTATCACTATGTGCTTCAGCTTCATGATTTCAATAGCAGCTAAATGTTCAGAAGTCTGAGGTTGTGGGCATGGTTCATTGCCCGCTGCAAATAAGGTTGTTATGAAATTTCATGTTAAAATATGGGTTTAGAATCCGAGTTTCTAAGCCAAAACTGGCATAAATCACATGTCCATACCAATCAACAGAAGTGCTGCATCCATAACAGCTGCACCGTTCAGCATTGTTGCCATAAGAATATCGTGCCCGGGACAATCAACAAAAGAGACATGCCGGACAAGCTTGAAACGTCCTGAGCAAGCAGGACGCAAGCAAGGAAATGAATCATCTTTTGATGACCCGCCTGAAATGTAGCAGGCTGGTCTAGGGCACTTCTCATTGTCACATTTGTAAATTTTAGCATTGGCATAACCTGAAGAAGACACAATAAAATTAAAAAGGTTGGCAGAGGGAAAAGTAGTGAGAGTTGTCAAAATTAAATGAAATGTATTTTGAGCTTGACCCATCAGTACACCAACATGTAATATAACATTTACACCAACAGATAACATACAATTGTTGTTGTTGTTTTTTATTCACATAAAAGCATCAAAAACCAAATACAAATAATTAGAAAAATAAATATTTTCTACAATTGACTGAACTACACTTGCATAGCATTTTGCTACTAGAGGAATCATTGGTGGAAGTATAACTAAAGGTTATTTCTTCCTCTGCCTCAATGTCGCGTAATGCAAACAATCCCAAACAGGGGATATTGGGGTCGAGACAATTGACCCATACAGCAAAAATACCACTATTGGGGTTGCATGAGTGGTTAATGAAATGTGAAATATTTCCATACATAGCAGCATCCACTGTGTACAAGCAGTTTTCTGGATCATTAAAATCTAGGTCAAATAAGTAAGTTTTGCCGTCAGCGTCGTAACGTCGTCCTCGCACCTCTGCCTCTTCATTGGTAATGACTTCTCCAACATACTGGCAAATGAATGTTCCAGTCTTAATAGCTTCTTTGGCTTTTATACCCCAACCACATCCATTAAAGGTCCGATATATAGCTAGTGCAACCTTTCGACCCGCTTGGACTACCCTGTTGGGACACTTTTCATTACAGGAGCACTTTTTGTTACACTCGTAAATAGGAGTGCCCTGTCGTACAATAAGTTTTCCATCTCTATATGCAAAGTTGGCATCATGATGCACATGGCAACACATACTTTCGGCACCACATGCAGTACATGTGCAGCCTATGGGAGGGTCCTCTGGGATAGTCACCCCTGGCCCTGGGATGTAATTGGCCACATAAGTAAAATGTGGAGGGGCCACTTCAAGGTCCACTAAGTTTTCCACTGTAATAGGTGCCTCATTGGGAGCCAGTAGATTTAGCTCATTCTGCCAGTCAGTGAGCTGAAGGCGTTGCTGTCTTCGTAAAACAGTTAATTTGTGAAGCATAACTATCTTTTTAGCTTCTTCTTTTTCAGAATCAGTATTATATTCAGAATTAAAATATGTGGTAGCAGCTTGCTCATAATCTTCTTTGGAGGGTTCTTCAAAAACAAGTTGTCCATCAACTCGTAGGGAGTTCATGAAATTCTCAAATTCTTCAGAGTCTTGTGCACTTTTTAGACCTTTTAATTTTAACTCCAAGTTGGGTCCTTTGTTTTTCTTAAAGTACGAAATAATCGCTGCCTGGCAGTTATAAATATTGCGCAGTGGCTCCCATGAGTTATGCTCATCACCCCACCCTTTCCACTTCACTAAAAATTTCCTTTCACCAAATATGATGTCCATATCTAAAATATACTCAAGCTCCCATTTCCCATCTTTTTGTAGCCCAGGAAGCCCAGGGAGTTTTGGTGCTTTCTTCAACTTCCTTTTCTTCCTGTAGGCTGTCTCCACCTTCTTCCTCTTCTTCGGCTGCTTTGAGTCTTCGCCTGCAATTGAAAAGTGAGCTTGTGGGTTGTTAAGCTGGCACTAGACACAAATGGCATTTGCTGGTTGGACATTAAATTTAAGCAATTGAAGAAAAAACAAGAAGAGAGACAAAAGTTGAAAAGTAAAAAATATGGCAGTGCTGGCTAAATCAGAAGTACACTAAGAAATTACTAGATGTTTGTATGAACAGTTCAATTAAAATATGGTGCATCCCACAAGCAATGCTGTTGCACTTCACCTATCACAATTAATAAAAATTCCCTCAAACTTAAGCTTTTTCCGTTGGATATCTGAACCAAATAGTTTCCCCACCAAAAAGTTAGACAGAAGACATGAATCATAAATTGTAATAACATGAGAGAAAATCAACATGATCTAATATATAATAATAAGACAGTAAGTAGTAATGTCTACCTAGACACAATGACTTCCGCACAGCCACACTAAAAACAACTCAAGAGCAACCTACCATTCCCTGATGATTGACAAAGATAAATAGGTTTCACAATTGTAATTCTGTTGTTTAAAAAGGCATCTTTAGGGCATGCCAAATACAGTACATACCTCACACAACACAAATAATAGATCCAATATTTTATTGACACATTTTTTGATGTCACAAACTCTCATTAAATATATATCTAATCAATTAAAAGTTTGTCATCAATACTACTTTAGCAGAGAACACCTACTCAAAGGAATCACAAAAATAACTTACCAAGCTTAATTGTGATGTTCCGCTCCAACTCATTCTTAAAACGAACAGTCTGAACGCCTGAGATGGCTTTCACAACAGTAGACTTGCCATGAGCCACATGACCAATTGTTCCTGAAATAGAATCATCATGTTTACATTCAGATTTTCAGTTGCAACAATCAATAAAGAACTTAAAGAATAAGATTTACCTATGTTGATGGTTGCTTGTCTACTGATAACTTCCGGGGAGAGTGCTGTGAGCTTCGAAATGTCCTGGAATTTGCATCATACAATAAACAATAAATTCATTGTATTACAGTAAAATATTCAAATATCATCGCAAGTTCGATTGTAAAAAATAATTTGAGACCAGTGCTTGTGTCTCAGCCTCAAAAAAGAAAACAATGTATAGTGTATGTGCTACCTGAGGGGTAATTTAAAAGGGTTCCTAACCTAACTTAACCTTCTAACCAAAGCAAAAATAGAAACGTCAAACTCTTATAGAATGTTGTGGAAGTAGAAACGAAATAATGCGTTTAATTAGTCATAATATATTAGAACTAAGGAAAATGAAAAGTAACGGCTTAGGGCTGAGTAAATGATGACTGCACGGGGTGGACGGTCCAGCAGACCGGACCGGTCCCAGACATACGGCAGCTGAAAACCAGGATATATTTCTGATCACTTACTAATTTTGCCAAATCCTGCTTATGAAGATGCGGCTGGGCCGTGGTAGAACCTTCTGATGCCATATTTCATGAAATGATTGTCCAAATATTTCAAACTCCACAGTGACCACGACGGCACGTTACATCAGCTTCAGTTGACTTCAGCACTGCCCTGCCAGGCCAGACAGATTCAAGATGGCTGCGCACGCGCAGACAGTTGCAATATGCAAATGCCAACATACAGTAATGCAATGAAGAATAAAGAGAGTGGCTTGATTATTTTTAATGCTGACCTCAACTATCAACGTTAAAAACCACACAAATTAAGATCATGATGATGGATCTGTACCGTCAGTAATGTCGCAGTTTTGTAACCTTATAGATCTATTTTTTATATGATGGTACCATACCACCTGGTTTAACTGAAAGCGGGAGCTTTAAAGCTGCTCATTAAATCAATGGCAGACTTTTAAACCTTGAGTTTAAACCTAACAGCTCTCCCTCTCTCTCTTTCTATCTCTCTCCACTAAAATAAATGCATTACAACGATTTAAAGTTTTATTTCTTATTATTAGAATGAAATAAGAGCACTTTGTTTGAATAAGTTTTATTAAATGCTTCAATGCTAGCATTTTGACACTTAGGTACAACTACTTTGTCATATTGAAATAAACATTAATAATAGATAAGTTTTAAGGCTTACACTACAACAGCCCAAAACAATACATTTAGTTTGCACACCTTTGTACTGTCAGAGTGATCATTCATCAGGCTTCTCACATATCACAGTAGATTTGGAAGACAATGGAACAGGGGATGGACTTGGAGATGGAGAGTCTCTTTCTGTGCTACTACCTTTGTTGAGACCTTTCTCTCTTTCAAGGCGCTGACGGCTAAATCGACCCATACCCGGACGGTAGATTTCAATGCTAGGCCTGTCCTACAAAAACAATAATGAAAAACATATGAAATGAATGATGCAGTTTGACATATTTGACATTCATTTTGTTACAATTACTATAATTACTATAATACATATACATGAACAAATCAGTCTATAGAACATACCTTATTACGAATCCGGCGTTCAGCTCTTGGATCTTTTTTGTCTTTTTCATCACTCTTCATTCCAGCACTTTCACTTTTCTTTCCATCTGCAGTTCCACTAGAAGATGTTTGGATTGATTTCATGTCCGCAAGTGACTTACTTCTTGACTGTTCACTCTGCTGCAGAGAATTGCTTGGGCTAGCATTATCAAGAGAAGGACGCCTCTCTTTCTCATGGCTTATTTTCTCATTTTGCCTAACACTTTCTTTGGTCTCAGGTAGACCCCCTTTGACATTTAGTTTATTATCAGATTTGTTAGGTAAAGCAGAATCCTTTTTAGCTTGGCTCTTTTTGTCTGCAGCGGCAGCTCTGCGCTGCTCTCGCTCCTGATTGTAACTCTTCTTTCTTGTCTCTTCTTTCGGAAAATGTGATCTTGATTCTTCACTTTTCAAATCACTAGTTGCACTTCTCTCAAGGTGAGAAGTGTGCTTCCTAGAATCTTTAACATCATCATGATTTCGATCATCCGTAATTTTTTTTGAATCATAATTACGTCTCTGGTCTGGATCTTTTGTAAATTTATTTGGTTTCTCATACTTCCTTATTTCTCTGCTGCTTTGTTGTCTATACTGGTCAGAGTTCTTTCCCTTTTCATGAGGACGGCCACGAGTTTCTGATGAAGAGGCATCCAATTCCTTCTTCAAACCTGTTTTTTTTTCATTGGTGCAATCTTCATTGACAGCATCTTCTTCTTTCTCAATTCCATCTGCAGCAACCATCCCCTTTGAAGGTTGTGTCTTAGCTGCTCTTCTTTCATTCAAGCGTTGTCTCTCTTCCTGATAACTTTTGCCCCCACGCCGGGTGTCTCTCAACCTGTGATAAAAGAGAATAAATGTAAGAGTAAGAGTTTCCTCAAAAATTATAACAAGGTATGTTCAGATAAGCTTGTAAAACTTAAGGGATTTAAGCTAAAGCTAGATTTAAGAATAGGGATAGACTTGCTGTTGCAAGCAAAACAGCATACACTCACTTTGACTCTACAGAGGCAGGTTGGTTTTCTTTGTCTTTCTCTTTGTCTTGACCAGATCCTTGATCTCGAGTAGAATCTTTTCGAGCGTCTCGTTTTAAATCTTTTGCTGTTTCACGGCTATCTTTGTCACGTCTCTCTTTATCTCTAGTTTTTAAACGGTCATCTTCGCGGCGCTTGGACATAACTTCTTTAACATTGGTCTCCCTTGCTAGGCGCCTGTCGGATATTTCTTTTGATGCTTTGTCACTACTTGATCCATGTCCAGCAATCTGTAAGTGAAAATAGATTATTATTTTCAAGAGTACAATCATTGGCCTACTTCAAAACTAATTGTCTATGACAAAGGTCAATTTTTTCAGATCTTCTTTAAATGTAAGCAAGCACTCACCAGGCAGTGTCAAGTTAAAAGCAAAGATGCATGCAATGACATATTAAAAAGAGAGGTTGTGAGAGTACAGGATAGGGATAAGAAATGATGTGCTTCATATGTATGGTGCTTTATATTCAATAAACACACACTCAGAAATAAAAATATATAGGTATGTATATACATATATCTATCTATATATATATACATATTTAAAGTCCACAAAGGCAGTGCATGCTTGATATTTAATAGGGAAACTTTGTGACACCAAAATTTAATTTACAAACAAACCACAAATGACATAAGATACTTAAGGATGCACATATGACGATACAAGTTCATCAGTCCATGGATTTAAGATTAGGAAAAAGGGGAAGATTGAGTCAACTGTAGATGATTATTATATTTTACCCTTAATTGATTAGATCATTGTACAGACTGTAAATAAATCTGTCATTAAAACCTGTTTCTCCATGTTGAGTAAGGCAACCAACATCTATAGACTGCTGGTGATGCATGAAAATTATCAAAACTGTCATGATTCTTGCTGTGCATACTGAAAGGGTAACTAGGAAGAACAGCACTCATTCTTCTAATTGGATGAGGTTTTCCTCCTTTCTTCCAGCCCATGTATGGATGAGGTCCCAAAATCCTGTGACTCATCTGGTGTATGGTTCTATTTGTATTGTTCCCAATCCCAATTAGAGTTGAAGTTGCTGGGGATATGTTTCTAGCATAAAAATTGGATTTGTCAAGTAAATCATTTTGCAGCCCTCTGAAACTGTAAGATTTTGAGATGTTTTGACTACTATTTGAATTTTTCCTCTTCAGGGTAGAAATATTTGAAGATGTAGGCTCCCAAAAACGCTTAGGGAAAACACACATAGGGACTTTCCCTCTGTTGGTTTCATTAATGGTGACAGCATGGGGGGTTGAGAACAACAGGCCTCTATGACTATTAGGTTCCAGCATTACGATTGCTGCACCTTGATTGAAAAAATATGGGGACTTGAATTTGATTATATTCTTCCCCTCCTGACATTGCAATGCTTGGCACTCAAATCTTTCATTCTTCTGATTGCCATTCCAGCCATAATGGTTTGGTTTCTTCCAAGCAGGGAGAGAATGCTGAATTTTTGAACATTTTGTGGAGTGGGATGGACTTTCATCAAATTCTGTACAATTTTTTTTTTCAGAATTGCCTTCCTCTTGTTGTCCAATAATATGCTTCTCCAGTTCTTGTAAAGTAGTCATCTGTTTAGTAGAAAAATTACTAACAGCAGGATACTGGGCTTGCAAGTGGCCACTTTCCAGCAATTTAAAAAATTCAGTCAGTTTCATGGGTCCCTTGACCATCTCATTGAGCACATCTTTAGAGGACATGTTTGTAACAGCAGCAACATCTTTTTTAACAAGGCAAGGTTTGAAAGTAACTTCTGATGGAAGAGTAAATTGAAGAGGTTGGCCATGAATGACCTTTTCACTTTCAGTGGAACTAATGGGGACAGTTGAAGTTTCATTCTTTTTCTGAAGCTGAGTTTTGAAGGACGACTCCTTTACCATCAGTTGTGTTTGAACTTTGGGTTTGATTGATTTGTTTAACAAAGTACTTTTTTGGATTAATTTGGGCTCCACTGAAAGGCTGCAGAGAGGTTTGGTTTGGTTTGTTTTCAGGGAAGTCTTTGTGGTACAAACAGGGTGCCTATTTGCCTGTTTAGGACTAGGAGAAAGGGAAGCAAGGGAGAGAGGAGGTTGTGCACTAACTACAATTGCTTCTGCAGTACTGCAAGGTTTATCAGCCTTAACACTTTGAAATAATTGATGCACACTTATTTGTTGTGTAGGAATATTCAAAACTTCAGTTTTGAGATCGGGATTTGGAAGCTTCTTGGGAGGGCTAATGTGCAGCAAAAGAAGGTGCATTCTTTCTCGTAAAACTTGACAGTTAAAGGGAGCATGCACATCAGGACTGCAACATGCACAGCAGGACACCTGTTCTAGAGCGGAGGTATCCTTGTCCAGGCCAATCATGCAGCGAAGGTAGCGAGTCTGAATCTCTGCCAAATCTGTAGTTGTATCACTGGAGGGTTGGGGGGGCTGGAAAATAAGGTCAATGGTTTGCCATTTTTCCAAACCAAACAAACCTTAACAAGAAGTCTAAGAATCAAGAGCTATTAAGCAGCAGACACATTTGCCAATTATAAGTAGAAAAGTTATGGATCACCGCAGAGCAGCTAAAATATATCTTTAGTCATGCACAATCCACAAATGCCCACTAGCCCAACAAAAATATAAAATGCTGACAGACACAACTAATCCCACAAAATGCTACAAAGAGTCATTACCTTTATTACTGCATCTTCCCTTGCTTTGCGCCTTTCAATCTCTCTTTTCTTTCTCTCTGCAATTTTATCCTCCTTTGTTCTCAATTTATCAGCACGTCTAGCCTTCAAATATTCCAGAAGGGGAGTTGATGTGACTTTGGGTGTAGCCAAGCCTGCTAATAAATAAATGGATTTAAAATTTATGTATTGTCGCAAGAACAAGACAGACCTATTCAGTACTCCAAATGCTTTGCTTACTGGTAGATGTCTCAAAGAAGTGTTGTTTGTTTGATTTTGAGGCAGATTTTCTTTGAGTCTCTTCAGCTTTCAGGGCTTCCATAAATTCAAGGTAATATGGATCATTTTCAATTGTACCAATACGAGGATCTTTCTTGCGCGAAGGTCTCTGCTTCGGTATCCTTTGGAATGGCGCATATTCAACTATTGCAGGATATTCATTGCCTGAGTTAAAAATTTGAAAGTTTAAAAGCTTGCAGGGGAACAGGGGAACATCATAAATGTAGCCCTTGAAGAGTGATGTACCTTTGCTGTCCACAAACACATAATTGTCAAACTTTTCAGTGAATATCAGTAGGTCTGACACATGAATAAAGTGGAGGTACGCTCGTCCAAACGAATTGGGGGAGAGACTTGAGTCGGCTTTGACAAAGTACATGTAATCAACTGGTGGTAAAGGTGCAACTTGATCTAAAAAGGTTTCTAATATCATAGTTGGAGGGAGGCGACGCACAACCACCTGAAACCAAAAGCAATAATGTTATACCAATACAGTAACAAAACAAAATTAGATACACATAAGCAATTATGAACTAAACTTCAAAAGCTGAACACCAAAACTATTCTTTTTAGTGGGAAAGAAATGTATTTTACAGACTATATTACTAATTATCAACATAGCTACTCCTCAAAACTACATTTCTGAAACAGAATACCGAAGATGATTATTATTTTGTATTAACCTTGGTCGGCGGTTTCTCCACTTTTTCAATCGTTTTGGGACGGTCACTTCCATCACCTGTCTGCTTCACAGCTTTTGACTTATTGGTCTTCGGTGACGATGGTGTCTGCGTCTTCGAATCGTCTTGAGATGTAACAGTTTCAGTCATACTGCGAAATATATGCAAACCTGCAAGGACCAATACCAAAAAATTAAATTGCACGCACACGCAATCTTCAACAACTTTTGTGGTTCGTTGCTCGGGGGTCAAAAGTACTAAAAATCGAAAATTCGTAATTTTTGCACAGGCAAATCAACTGCAGAAAGCGCATGCATGGAACAACAATGGCTTATCAAGAGAGGCCGTACCACGTACCACCCCACCCCCTGCCCAAAGAACTGGTGTTGTCGTAATTAACAAAGTGATCTGACAAGAATTTTTAAAAGAAAAGGTAAAATAAATTTTTGTTTTAGACTTTGTATTACTGGATGCATTTTAAGTTTTGTGCATAAAATTAAAATGAGGAATTTAATCGGGTGATGGTGGCATGCAGTGCTCTTGAACGCTCGAAGCTCTTTCGAGTGGACAAATGAACAGTTGTTTTGGTTTTTGGTTATGGTTTGACGTTTCGTGTTCGCAAGAGATTGTCGATTTTTATAGGTTCATGTTCATGGTTTACTAAATTGGCCTAGAAAGACAGTCTTTTTTTCGTGTTGTGTTGGATGTTGTAGTTCAGTTCTTCGCTCAACACTCACGGCACCACTTGTCTTCCTTTCTCTGATTTATATTTTCCAACAAGAAAATGGATCATGATTGCGTTCCCTCTGCCGTTTCTGTTGCACCAAAAGCTGAACGTATTATTAAGAAAATACCTGGGAAACTACCTCCTCCACCGAAAGAAATTGATGTGCTGATGGGGGATCTGAGGAAGAAGAGTATTGTGGATCTTCATGAGCTTTTGGAGAGACAAACTAAAATTCTTTTGAACAAGTGGGTACAAGGTTAGAAAGAAGAGCAAATGCAAAGCATGTCAATGGGCTGGTTCTATCATGTTTTTTTATCTCTCCTTCCTTCAGATCATTAGTCAACAAATTGTCTGATAAAGGTGAAAGAGCATCTGTCCTTAAGGATAGAATTGAAAAAGAGTTAAAATCTAGGGACGAGCTAGACAAAGCAGCAAGTCTCCTTTCGAAAATGACTCTTAATCAACTAAGTGCTCTTGAATGGATGGGCCATTGTAATCCTGGTCATCGAGGTGTTATATCAACAAATGTAGACCATCCAGAATGTGAAGAAACTAATCCTCTTAAGATTTTAGCTACGCACAGTGGTACTACAGATCATCAAAAACAGATAAGGTGATTATCAAGACTGATATTAACTACATAGGTAACTGATCATGTTTAACCCACCAGTTGACATTGTCTTGACCGTTATATCATTTATATTGCTGGGACTTGTTGGTGTGACAATTTTGTGCCTAAGATGAACTGTACTGTTATTATTGCAACCTAGGCAATGTCTATCAAATGTCAACATGGCGTGGTAGTCAGTATTGCCTCTCACTAAAATATTGCTCTCATATTTCTTTTTCCTGGTGTTCTCAGCACAATAAATGAAGAGGTTACCTTAGTTAAACCAGAAGATCTTCTTGATTCTGAAGATTCAATTGAGATTTCTAAAGTAAAAGATTCTTTGGAGCCCACACTAAAAGTTTCCAAAGACCAGAAAATGGCTGAAAGTGATATGGATGTATCAAAGCTGCCTTTACGCTTGAACAAAACTGAGCCATTTGCACAGGCCATATGTGAACGTTATGGATGCAAAGAAGGAAAGGATAGATTCAAGCCTAATAAACCTCTTAAACCATTCACTGGCACCTATCCTTTGAAACCTACTGGAAGAATATCCACAAAGCCAAAGCGTTGGGAAGAAACAAATGTGACTCCACCTCCCCTAGTACATACGGATTCAAAGCTCCTCTCCCTGGAGGAATCTATCAAACTACAGCAAGAACAGAATGTAAAATTAAAGGTATCACTTTATATTTTAGTTAATGGTTTATCCAATATGTTATTCTTCTTAACTCTTTTTAAACCTTTTGTTTTTGTTTTTATCAAAGGACATTCAGATCAAACATGCAACTGAAAAGTTGTCATCTCTACATGGAATTCCAATGGGTGATAAAATTCCAAGAAGTGTCCTGAACAGCATGTCATACAGAGATCCAATCGAATGCCATAGTGATTCAGATGAAGACTTTAATGAGGCTGACATAGAAGACCAAGAGATACATGATGAAGACCAGCAAGATAGCGGAACAACTGTTGTCTACAATGTTGAAACATGAAGATGATCCTTATTTTCCAGTCACATACTTTCTGTGATAATTCAGTTGAAAACCAGTATTTTCCTGTACCTCATTTTAACTATGCCACATGATTATCAATAAATTATTAAAATAATAAGTTTTATTGAATTGTAGTTTTGGCTATATATCACCTATTGTTGTTGCTCCATTGAGGTATGAAGCACAAAACTCACAAAACCAAAACCACTAAACAGACCGAAAAGGTGTAAGCAGGCTGTGGGAAAGAGGAGATAAAAACATGTGTTCAATTTCATCAAAATATGAGAACAATTTCAAACGAAGTCGTGCCCCGTCTCGGGTATGTAATCCTCCGAATCAGTGAAGCTCAGCCTTAATATTTTTCACGCACGCCGCTATTATTTTTATATTTTGAAGACTTCTGTTAAAATTTGCTCGTGATGCGCCCGCGGCCTTCCCTGTTGAGGTCGAGCCGGTCGTGCGCGTGTTCAAGGCTACAGGCCCAACGTCATTCGTACATTCCGCACCTTTTCCTTTGCAGCTTGCCAGCAACCCGTACCTAATTTTCCTCTTATTATTATTACGTTTCACCACGGAATACGTAGCTGTAAACGTTTACTCAGGTTACTTCGGTCTCGTCGGTTTCCGTGACTGTCTGATCAAAAAGCGCCCCCCCCCCCCCTTTTTCGCGGAGCGTTACGTTATCCTACTTCACTTCACTTGTTGCGTCTGCTGATATTGTTACGCGGGGGGCGTGAGTGTAGTGCGGGGGAACGTCGCTTACTCAAATTCTACTTTTGAGTAGCAATAATTATCACTGCCTCTCTTCCCGGAGGCTTGGTTAGCATTACTCATGCGGAAACATGCAGGCTTCAATTCTGATCCCCGCACCATGTCCGAATCGGTTATAGTTAGTGTTCCGGACACCAAACAGCTGATCGACCAGGATGACAGTGGAGATGAGGTTCAGAATCAGGATCAACTCGATGCATCTTCCTCAATACCGGTGGCTATTCCTAAGAACAGTTCTTGGTCCCTTACTCAGTCATGTTCGTGTCCTGCACAAACGCATTTCGCGTCTTGGTAAGTGTTGCCTTCTGCTAGGCTGTTGAGGTTACCTGCTGCCTGCTAAGGGAAACGTTTCAGATTATGCGCAATGGTTCTGATCATTGCTTGTAACAATTACATTAATTGTCACTTTTATGGAAGTAAATGTGAATGAAACATAGCTATGGGTTAAATTTGAAGACTAGATTTAGGTAAATTTTGCGAATGTGTCCACATGATTGATATTTTCCCACAACACTGCGACTTATTTACAAATTTATGCTTACACACATGAGGGTGCTTACATTTTAGATTGATAGGCTTTGGAGACAAGATTTTCACATGCTAAGGAACCTCTAAGAATGCATTTTGGAGTTACATTGGTTACAAATTTTTCAAGGAATGCACAGAGCCACACAGCGCAACCATGTCCCAAACAACAAACATGCATACTATTTATTTGAAAAGTCCTTTACATTAAATTTAACTTTTCAAATGCATCATCAGCTCTGAGCTGTTCAGTAATTTCTGTTTTCTGTAAGAGTCTGTAGGACTTTCAAAAAGTCTTAAATTTATGCTTCATTTGTATGTTGTGCACATCACATATTTCCTCTATTTACCTTCAAAATTTATGATTTTCTTTTAGAGATGTGCACTTCATGCAATTGCATAATTTTATAAGTTTTTAAAATGCCTGAAAGTGAGAAAGTATCAATGGCTTAGTGACCGTCTAAGCTCCAACGGTCATGTACATACCCAAAACATCAATTTTGAAGCGATTTAGAAACTTAAGAAATTATGCACCACATGACCGCTTACTTCCTTTTATTCTACTCATCACTTCAAGCATCTTTTATTTGAATCCTTTATTGTATTATGATATAGTTAGTCTTCAAATAATGGAAGTAATTGCAGTGATGAGATCTTTGAGAAACACAATTGCAAGAGCTACACCTCTTTCTTTCAGTCGAACAATTATCTACCAATGTAATTTTATTATTAAAGTATCAATTGTGGAGAGAAAGTGTAGATTATTATTATTAACGAAGCCAAGGAGTGAGAGTTGATTTTATGTCCAAATTGTGTACTTCCAGGAAAAAGCCTTAAACTTAACTCCAGGAAAGTTTTCCAAAGGTCATTTTCAGATTCATCCCAAAGTACACACTGCACACCATGCACTTTGCTAGTAAACCTGTCAGCTCTTGTGAGTGTGTGTGTGTGTGTATGTATGTATGTATGTGTGTGTGTGTGTGTGTGTGTGTGTGTGTGTGTGTGTGTGTGTGTATGTATGTATGTATGTGTGCACACAGGCAGGCATGGGTGTGTAAGTTGTTATCTTATCTATATGTGAAATGCAGAAAGCAAAAGGGAGTGGCTACAGCCTGCCACATGCATTGACTGATTCTCATGAGCTGGGCTTAGTTTATATCAGTATATCTTAATCTGGTGATGTTCTCTCATAGTTAGTGCGCCATTGCTTTTTAGAAATAAAGAATTATTTCACAAAAATTAAGTGTAATTCACCTGATATTGAAATATGGCTCTGAGAGAAGATAAAGGCACAGTTCTTGATTTAAGTGAGAGGACTCCCCTAATGTAAGTTGTCCGTTTACAGAAACCGATTTGAATAAATGCTTTCTCTGTTGTTATTTGTTCTAGTGGCCCAAGATGGTCAGTCTGACTACGTACGAGTAGGACTGATGTTTTAAAACTGTGTATCACCAGGAATTTCTTTATTCTTGAAATTTGTATGTCTTTTGTTTCAGTGGAAGAAACACGGATGGAGTCTATGGGTCTCTTCCGTCTACCTCTATTCCAGACCCCGGTCGTGAAGGGAAAAGTATAATTTACTGTGTTCACGGAAAGCCCAGTGGTTGTTGTCTAGTTACCAAAGCAGAGGTTGTGGAGAGCACAACATTTGGTGTACCTTTGAGTAAGCTGCTATTTTTGTACTCATTTATGTATCTTTTAATCATGTCTTTCAATATGAAGAATAATTCTTTTTCTTTAGTTGAACACTGTCATAGAGGTAAGCGGAAAGAAGTTGACATCAAAGCTAGGAGACAACTTATCATCGCCACAGTTCTTTGCACTCTCTTCATGATAGCTGAAATTGTTGGTGCGTGCCTTGGTTGGGCTATGCTGAACTTGTGTTTGCCTACCAATTATAACTTAATTATATGCCGAAACTCTTTTTGTTAAGGTGGAATCTTGTCACACAGCTTGGCTATTGCAACTGATGCTGCACATTTACTAACTGATATAACATCATTTTGTATATCTCTTTTTTCACTATGGGTTGCAAATCGCCCATCAACCCGCAAAATGAATTTTGGGTGGTAAGGATGAGTATGCAGTCATGAGTAAATGGATTCTTCAGAATGTTTTATTCTTACAGTTCACTTGCAGGTATCGAGCTGAGGTCATTGGTGCCCTTACATCTGTGTTGCTTATATGGGTAGTGACTGGAATCTTAGTTTACATGGCCATTTTAAGAATTGTAAACAAAGACTTTGAAATTGATGCAACAGTAATGCTTATATCATCAGCTCTTGGTGTTGTAGTGAATTTAATGTAATAGCTTATTTTCATTTTAAAATTACTTTAAGTATTAAGAGATACTATAAAATGGAATGTCGTCTTGGCTTTCAGCATGGGTATTGCTCTGCATCCTGCCCATGGACATAGTCATTCTGGATCTGGTGCTCACAGTCCACGACACAGTCATGGTTCCAATCTTACTGTGGAGAGTGAAGGTTCCATGCCTCAAGCTTCTCAATGTAGGAAGCAGAATCTTAATGTTCGAGCAGCCTTTATTCATGTTATTGGTGACTTCATTCAAAGTATTGGTGTACTGATTGCTGCCCTCATCATATATTTCAAGGTTGGGATGTTAATTTGTTTGTGATCCAAAAGTTTTGGTTTGCTACTGTATTTTTTGTTTTGTTTTGATTCTTGAGTTGACATGCTTGTGACCTCTCTTGCTCCTACCAGCCAAATTGGATAATAGTTGACCCCATCTGTACATTTATCTTTTCTGGTTTGGTGCTCATTACAACAATAGCAATTATCCGTGATACTATTGTTGTTTTAATGGAAGGTATGTAGATTTCCAAATGAGCAAAACTTTTGTCATCATCATAGTGACTTTATTCCATGTCTGCGATATATCTGAAACACTTTTATTCTGTAGGTATTCCGAGAGACGTTGACTTCAATGCAGTTCTTGACACTTTTATGAAAATTGATGGTGTGGTTAGGGTCCATAATCTTCGTATTTGGGCTTTAAGTCTTGAAAAAACTGCTCTCTCAGCTCATCTAGCAATCCGTGAGTAGAACTGTTTCAGTAGATGTTAGATGATGAATTGATTGAGAAATGTCTCTTAGTGACTTCTTTTTGTACTTAGGTCCAGGAGTTCATCCGAATACAGTGCTGAAGACTGCCACACAAAACATTCATGCCAATTTTAATTTCTTTGAACTCACTTTGCAAATTGAGGAATTCCACCCAAATATGGAGAACTGCGAAGAATGTCATGATCTCAGTGACCAGTAATGTTTTAAATAGATTTCTATTTTTAAGTAGGGAGTTGGCCTTGGGACTGTCTTGTAACTACTGAATGCTCAGTGAGTGGTATATTTTTCTAAGTAGTAGTATGGTAGAGTGATGGTAGAGCTTGTACCATGATATGTAAAACATATTTAATGATGCTCTTCGGGATCTCAAGATGTGCTTCTTAATAAACAATATAGATACACATCCTGTTAAAAAAATTGCATATTGTGTAGTATATTTACTTTTATATTTTTTCTAATTATTTCTTCTGCGACAAAGCATTTAATGCCCAGAGTGGATATTATTCAACACAAAGTAAGAACGGGCTGTGATCATTGTTTCTACCATAAGGTTTGCTCAAAATGACAACAATTTTTATCTAACTATTCTACTTTTAAAAACAATTTTGTCACATTTTTTTTATTTTTTGCTTATTCACTATTTACCCTCTGTATTGAAATTTGTTTGAAATGCTTGTTAAGTGCATAATATTTTTCATTGGTAAAGTATCGTTATTTATGCAATAAAACTAAATAGTCAACCATAATAGACATTGCCGTTTGTTGGTCGGGTTTCAAAACGAACCTCTTGGCTGGAATTTTGGGTTACACTGGCATCAACCTAGCAGGTTAGAGACTGTTTGTTAAACCTCGGAACGTCTTGCAGGCTGTTTCACGCCAACAAATTAATACAACACCAAAGAGACTCTTTATGAAGAAATTGATGTAATTGTCTTCACACACCCGAATGAAACGGCTTTTTTGCTTGATGTTGACCCCTCATTTCCACCGTTTCTCCTCTTCAGAAAGTCCATGCGTGTCTATTCTCCCCATTAAAATACAAGAACGCCAAAATTTCTATAATTTTGCTGTTCAAACTGCTTTTTTCATGCCACTGTTCCCCATGTATTTCAACGGACGCGCGCGCCGCCAAACAAACAAAAGAAAAACGAAATTGACCCGCGCCGCGCACGGCCTCTAGTGAGAGAAACTGCAACCTCATTCAAATTCGCGACTGACTTCTGACGGTTGAGTGTGTTTGGTTTGTTTGTGTTTTTGTTTGTGTTATAATCTTAGGTCAAGACAAGACATGTCGAACATTTACTAAACATTGAACAGTGAATAGATTTATCCAGAGGTTAGTACCTTCAACGGTTAAATGAGTGAGTTCAGCATGGGCATGATAGTACTTAGGAAACTTGTTAGTTTATTGTTGAACAACAGTTTTCTATATTTTACCTTTCGTCTCGACTTCCTTCATTTTTCAGAGCATCGAACAAGTTTTAATTTTTATCTGCAGTCATGAGGAAGTCTTCACTAGGAGCACGCAGGGTCAGTCAGAACTTGAGATTGGAGCATGATGATCAGCGCGCTAGGTGAATCAAGTGTGAAGTTATTTTTTATAGCACCATGATTCTTACCATTTGTAAAAATCCTCATTGTATTAAGCATTAGTTCCAGTAGACGACCCTTAGATGTACGGAGGGCAAGTGGAATACCTCAGCCGGGAAAAAATCGTCGTTCTTCATCTGAGAATCGTGATGGCCGAATGTCTGCTATACAGCCAGCGTTAAAAAGGTTTAACAGCCAGCATAATTTACTGGCAACACCTGCTAATGTTTCAACTACTCCTTTGCGAGGGCTTCACTTTGGAAGTGCTCAGTCACAAAAGTAAGTCACATTATGAATGGCATTGTTACTGATCTGTACTTCATATAATGTGTCTAAACCTTTTTTGTTAGATTTACATTATCTCCGTTTTCTGATGGAGGTCGTAGCTCTCGCAAATCTGCATACAGTGGTGTTGGTGCTGGAAAGCAAAATAGAATAGCTAAAGATACAAGACCCCTAACTGACAAAATCTTTTTACAACAAGAAATTCACAAGATAACAAGTTTTCTCCATTCGCAACCAGATGCTTTATCAGTTGCTTCTAAAGGAATAAATCTACGTCAGCTGACTATGAAGCTCTTTGTTGACTTGGTTAACTTTCTCATGGGATTTTTGGATGATAATGTCAATGTGAATATGGCAAATTATGTCAATGAAATTCCATTAATAATGAAAAAGTGGGGATATGCTGGAAACTTAAATTCATCTTGGTTAAAAACTGGTGAGTTTTTTGTTTTTGTTTTTTCCTGTGATAACGTGAAGTTGTTCCTATAGGTTGTTGCTCTGCACAAACATAATGTCTTTTTATTCTTGCCCACAGTAAATACGCCTCATGCTCTGCCCCATGTGGTTGGTCTTTTATCATGGTTGGTTACTTGTGCCTCATACGCGGAAGGAACTGATTTTGAAGCATTTGTTGAAAATTCACTTCAAAACTATGATGATGTCATAGATGATGCAGAAGCTGATGGTTTCTTGTATGGAAATGCACTGGTAAGTATCAGTCTAAAGTATTTATTATATAAAATGGGAAATTTAAATTTCTGATTCCCTTTTTGGTTTTAACTGTTAATGGCATTATTTACAGGTTTATATGCCGCATTTGATGAAACAGTACCGATTGTGGAATTCAAGAGAAGAAGCTGCAGAGAAGAATGAAGAAATAAGATTTATTGCAGAACTATGTATGGTCAACTACAGTGTGTGCTTTGCTTTTGTTAACAAAACTTTATTACTTAACTTGCAATTTTTTTTGTGTAGGTAAACGAAATGGTGTTGGTGATGATGAATTGAATGAATGTGCAGAAGCCATACGTGATTATGAGGTTCAACTGTCAGATCCCAAGGAGCAGGCAGAAATTGCTGCTTTAATGGTAATTACTGTGTTCAAAGATACTTTTTGTACCTAGGTACTTGTTTGGATGTTGAAACTTGAACATTTTATTTACCCTTGAATTATGTTGTAGGAAGAAGAAAAGAAGAATATTGAGTTTGTGAAAGACTACAATAACTGCTTAGAATATAAAAGTAAAATGGAAGAATTTCTCAATTCTGCTGAAACAAAACTAGAAGAGGAAAAGCAGAAATTATTGAAAGAAGGTAGCTTTTATTTTATGTAGGTAATAATTAGTGCTCTATTATATATTGTGTATGCGCTAATTTTGATTTTTCTGAGTCTAGAAGATGTGTTGCTAAGCCTCCAAAACAAAATAATGGAACTAAAAGAACTAATAAGTAACCAAATTATGACCGTTGAAGAAAGGGATGAATTACAAAAATTCTGTAGTGAACTGGGAAGCTCTATTCGTGAAAATGAAGAATATATTGCCCTTGTTTCGAACCAAACTTTTAATGACGATTTAGAAATAGTCAAAAGGCAAAAAAATGTGAGTAATTTAAAGAACTCTGTTTCTTAGTTCTCGTGGTAAATTTCAGTTTTGCATTCTTCACCTAACAATTTATCTGCATAAATTTTTAATAAATTATTTTCCACAGATAAAGAAAAAAACCCAAACTTACAACAAGATTATTATTATGGAATCCTGTTGGCTTCCAGAGCTTAAATCGTTGATGGATGAGATTAACTTCTTCCATCCTGGAGCCAAAGAGGAAGTGGCTGAAATTGAGTCTCAGGCTCTGAAACTTAAGGGAGACATTCAGAATAAGTATGAAAAAATCAATGCAGACATGAAAGAGCGTAAATCAGAACTACTTCAGGTACTCCAAACATTACTGAAAATACTTACGTATTGGATCCTTTTATTTTGTGCCCTGAATCTTAATTTCTTGTTGTTATTTTAGTTGGAGGAGAGGAAATCACTTGTACTTCAAGATGAAGAACAACATTTGGAAAAGGTCAAGCAATATGAAGCATCAATAGAAGCGTTCAAAATACAAAGTCATGAGGTTTGTACGCGGCATCTCTACCTGAATAGTTCATCAGGTTTCAATTTACTCAATCCTGTCACGACTTTCGCCGCTAACAGGGCAACGCTGTCCCAATTCACGGGGCGGCTTCTGCGCTGTTGGGCTTGAACTTAAGGTCTGGCTGACGCATCCCCATACTTGTTCGTACTTGTTTCATATTAGCAGTTAACTTCTAGGGTACTGTGCTGGCAGCAACTAAATCAGATCAGGCCGTGTTGTCTGGCCCTGTACGACACTGTAATCTAATTTGCTTAAATATCTTAATGGGATACAATTTTCAGGAGATTGTTGAGATGAAGAGGACTCTCAACTCTTTAAAGGCATCTAATGAAGCTCGCATCTCTTGCAATTCGCTGCAGATGGCAAAAGATCAGTTGCAGAAACTTGTTGAAAAGTAGGTTCTAGATTGTCACTATGATGCGTTATTGTCAAGGCTTCTTTTGACACAAATTTCTTTGTATCAGACGGGAATATGGCAAAGCCCATATTGAAAAGCTGAAACAGAAGGCCGAGTCTTTCTTTCTAAAAACTACATCTTGCTCTCGAGGATTCATCAGCACAGTATTGGTAAGTAGAGCATGGCTTTTGATTTGAAAATATTAACTAGACTTGTGCACATTTTCAGACAATACTGATTTTACAGAAAGCAAAAACTGAGTATAATAGGAAAATACAAGATTTACTTAAAAATACTGAAGACATTTTGGAGAAAACCAGAAGCGATTTCCCGTAAGTGGGTTCTTTGTTCTGCTTTATTTGTTGAGGGGGCAAGTCATATACCACCTTTCCACTTTTTGTTTTGTTTTATATGTTGTCAAATTCAACGTAGCGGTGTGCTTCTATGATTCTAATGTGGTTGGTTGATGTCCGCTGCCCCCCTATGAAGATTTTTATTTAAGGCTATATCTTATGATGCTAATAAAATACACCTTCATGAATGAGATTTCTAAATCAGTATTATATTCCCAATAATCTCGTACAGGACATTCAACGTAACTGCATGTCATAAATATATTATAAGTTATTGATTCATTAAAACTATAGTACATAGGAATTCAGTGTAAATAAAAGCAGGGTGGTCAGCCAGGAACTAAAGAGAAGCCGATTTACTCGTGCCTGATCAAACTTTTGTGTGTTCCTGGTCGCCTGCTTGCTTTTCTTCTTTTTACTGCACTCTTTCATTTTGAAACAACTGATGAGCAAAAACAACACAATCAAGTTGTGTTGGAAATATCACAACATTCAACTCATAATTTCAACTAAATCCTTAGTCTTTTACTTAATCTAGATCCAATTTTTACACGGAAAGAACAAACGCATATCCAGGCAAGCATTGGGGAATGTTGGTCATTGCTTTGGTAGATACAACGCTTGCACTAACACTTGTACTTTGGAAAGGGAGTGCAATGAGAAAGATGTGTCTGTCACACTACACATTTTGTTGAACCCAGTTAAGGTAGATTTTAAGCAATTCGTGGCATCTCTGGTTGTGCACTCCCATCATCATCACTCCCTCTGAAAGGGATCAGTCAGTGTTCTCTACTGTAAAAATGCCATTCCCCAATAATTGAATCAAACAACCACGCTTCAAGTTCTTTTGACGAAATAAAATTAATTGAGTCCCTTTGTAAGATCACGTTGCAGATGCAGAGTACAACAGTCTCCGCCAGTCTGATTTTGATGTGTCACTCATCTGCGTATCTCAGCAAAATGGGTCGACAGGTACATTCTGCTGTGCCTGCGGTATTTCATTAATAAAGTTTGTCTCCACAGTCGGGACAGGATCTAGTTGGCACCCAGTCACAAAGGTTCACTTGACATGAAGCGACGTCTTTCTCTTTCCGGCGGTAATCAGGCCGATTCGGCGTCCATGTCTCTGTCGCGCGGAGAACCGTCCCGAGCGCGGCGAGCGGGCTTCTAGCTCCCAGAAGTTGATGGGGAGTCACCATCGATGACTTCGGCAGGTGTTGGCGTCCGACTTGACACTGTCGTCGAAGCGGTGGTCGGGGACGGGGCCCCCGAGGTCGTGGAGAGTGTCGTCTGGTTGGTAGCAGACGGTTGCTGCTGCAGCGCCCGCCCTCGCGGTACTTGTGGCTCCTCGTCCTCTTGGGTTTTCTTGTACGAGGAGAAGAAGGCGAGTGCCTTCATGAGCTGGTAGCTTTTGGACACGGGAATGTTGGAGTCGTAGAGGCGGCGCGATGCTTTGCAGTCCACGTAGAACCACCAGTTGCACTTGAGCACCGTCTGATCGAACAGCGTCGACTCAGGGCACAGGAATGACTTCATGATGAGGCCGTCATCCGTCAGCGCACACACGTGGAACACCTGCGCGAACAATCCACATGGCAAGGTAAATGAGAGTTCTAATTCGCTCTGATAACAGCGGCGATGAAGAAAAAGCTAGGATCGCGCCGGCCGAAACATAGTTTCACCACAACTCCGCAAACTCATGCCGTGTGTGTGCACGTATGATGCACCAACTCCTGAATACCCCCATGTATGCGCTATGCCCTGAATACCTTCCATTATTATATTCGGTAAATAGTGTATACTATGCGTGCGCATGTATGCAGGAAATAGTGTTTACATGTCCATGTATCATGTACCCCGTGTTTCGAAACTCTGATCAGAGCACGCGGCGGCGCGGGTCACAGGGGCCATGTTGCCTTCCCAGCATATCGCCTCCTCTGTCGTTTTTAGTGAGTTGCCTGACAGATAAACAATTTACTAATCAAAACCATTCCCCATGAGCACAGCCTGCCCTTCGCCCGCCTCAAATGCCACCCTGAGCGCCTGCCGGTGGTGCCTGCGCTGCGCGTGGAAACGACAGATCCTCAACTGGATAAAATGCAGGAGCGCGAACGATCAATCTCTCTTAATTATCCGCGGATAGGGAATCATCCAGAGTACGCCGATCATTCGCCGTTGCGAACCTGCCCAATTCAGCCAATATAAGCTCCTGTAGCACCTGATGGGTAGGCAACATCTCACATGCAGTGCATGCGTGTACTGCGGGCTAGCCTACCCCGAGTCTCACAGGCGCTGAGCTCCCGTAATTCGTCGACTGTAGGAAGACACTATTGCCCCCCCAAAGGTGCTATATTACACCACCACCCTTGTAGTGCCCTTACAAGACAGCACCGGTACCCCCAAGTGGTCTCAGCACCTTTGTTTTTCCGGTGAACTCACCACACTTCGTCGCGTGCACTGGTACGTTACAAAGCTTGCCAATGAATATTCACCGAGGGATGCGGTTACCTGGTTACCTCTACTGTTTTTGTCGCACACCGCATGTGCGGAGCACGTTCAGCCTTGTGCACAGGACTTCACACCCCTCCATATTCACACGTCTACACCATTTGCGAATGTCCATTATCTTCGACGGATCCCCCTCTTAAAAAAACTCGTACACGAAAAACAAAAAATCTCACAAGATACTCGCGGACACTCGCGTTATCTCGCCAATACTCTCGAATAACCGCGAAGACTCTTAAAACTTATTGTACACCCACTTGAACAATGGGGGACCCCTCGACCTCGTAATATAACCAGAAAATAAGGGCGCAAATCACCCACTCTGTGCACAGGACGGATTGTGCCCGAGAGATTTCATTTATAGAACATACGAGCCCATATAAACAGTCTTCTTGGAATTCCGTCGTTTTTTATTTCCGATTCCTCGGCACCGGTTTCCTGCTGATCACTTGGCGTCGTTGGTAATATCCATCGCAGTCGAGCCAAGGGAAAGTGTGGGGGAACCGACGGTCTACGGTCTGCGGACGGTCCAGGCCACCTTGAGATGCAGGTAGCCGTTGAGCAACGGTGGGGTGGGGGTGGAGCTTGGGCAGAACGCGGACGGACTGCAGGGAGGGGGAGGTGGCCAACTCTCTGCGTAACCTTGACTTTCGGCAGCCAGAGCAGACTGAGTGTGATCGGCCAGTGCGCCCCCATATTACTACCGGTAGCGGTAGCAGACTTCCAAACGTCACAGGGTAACTAGGACTAGTGTCGGGGGCTACGACACAACAGTGTTGCTGGTTTGCCTATCCTAGGCACCATGGCGCCTTACGGTTAGGCCGAGTAGGCGAAGGCGAACTCGCATACTGTTGTGTTGTAGCACTGACAGACCGTAGGTAGAGTGCACTTTCCACTACGCGTTCATTCGCGATATGAGGGGGCTTTATCGTTAATTTGAGTTTCTCTTTCTATGCATGCCCTTTTCGCGAGTAACTTAGCAGACTCGGTTCTACTACTTTTTTAATTTTTGTTCGGTCCTAATGAGAAATAGTGATAATATCAAAACAAGACCGTTGTCGATACTGTAACAGACGGCTGTATGGTTACTTCAAAGTAGAAGCGCGGTCTTTCAACTTCTAATAATATCGTGATCCGAAACTACATGATGTCGCCCCGCCCCTCGCTTTCCTTCCACGTACTTCTGGTCGGACTCCGACTGCCAACATAGTCGTCGCCTGTCACCTCTCTCCCAGCGACCCACTGCTCACAGTAGGTCTCCACTCACACACGTACACGACCAACAGAGACCACACACCACGCCAACTGTTATTTGCAGAACTATTGTCCTGCGCTCGAGTCATGCCATTTGTTTTTCCGCGCAAAAGTTTCGCGCGCGACTGTCGCAGCCTCTATGGCGCCCCAGTGACCCAGTTCCCAACTAGCTGCTGTTTGGCGGGCGGCGGTGGGTCGAGAGGTGGCGATGTCGCACGCGCACGAGTGGACGTGGACAGGCGGCCGATAGCCCTCCTCGGTGTCGGGTGCGGGAGCATGGCTCAATAAAGAAGAGAACAACTTTGTTACGGTGGCCGCAATGAAAGCCACCATCGCATTAGACGTACGGCCCAGTCAGGGCGCGGGTCAATCCGCGGCACTCATTGTTCGCCATGCCTATCCCGCCATTTTCACCGAAACCTTATACACTGCCGATCAAAATTAGCGGTCCACTTTTTTGCTCTGGTGCCATTTCCATGTTTTTCGAGCTACAGTGCTGAGACTTTGCAGGTAGGTGCTGTCATTATTCGTTTTGAGGCTCACGGAGTGCGCAACCCGTGCGCCACCCCTTACGAGCTGTCTAACCCCTACAGTTGGGGAGGGTAAAAAAATCGGTCTAAACAGCTTCAAAATTGCCACTTTCAGTGCTCAGAAAGTCATGAGTTTTCATGAATCGACCCAACTTCTTGTCCTCTTTCGATCGGCGTATGCGAAGTTGTGATCCGCCAAACCCACCCCCTCCCAGAGTCACCCCCACCCCCTTAAGGGGGTGAGTTTTGAGGAAAGTCCTACGGAGCTGAAAATCCTGTGGGGACGTCCCCTGTACCCGGCCCAGGTGTTTTTTTTTTTCGAATCGGATCATCCCCGCCGAAACTACCCCCTCGGAAGTCCAAACCCTGGTTGAATATCGGCCATTTTGGTCCCTAAGGGTTGAAGTGAAGGCGTGAAAATTTAAAGGGAGGTTCCTTTTCTGTTCTCAAACACTTCCATAGTGGTGTACCCGACGTCACCATCTTCAACCCCTTCCTAGGGGGTGGACACCCCCATGTGCCCCTGCACCCCGTCAGAAGGGGATGAAGGTTAGATCCATGCGGATGTCTTAAAGAACACCCCAAGGAAGATTTCCACCAAGTTTCGTGTCGATTGGACCAACTGTTCCGCTTCCAGAGCCAAAAACCTGACAAAACGTTCAAAAACTACCCCTCTGTTCAACACCCCGTAGCGCCGAACTGAAGTAGGGTAGCGACCCTTTTCAAGGTGTACAACCTCGGCCTAACCTTCATCTCAAAGGCCGCAAAGTCTTGAGCCCCTGCGGTGCTGCGCGGAGCCGTGAGACTGATGTGAAGATGGTACTGCACTGGCCTACTTGCCCGAGACGCGGCTAGGCCAGCACTTGCACGAGACAATAATGGCACCAACAATCGCGAAAACGCTGCCCGACGCGGAATCGCAACTGCAGAATGTAATGTTAGTGCCAGGGGGCCAAATTGCCCCCAAAAGACGGACGTTTTCTTTCTTTCTGAAGCTCTACAGTGCGGTCACGTGTGTCGGTTTTGCCACCTGATCAAGTGCAGTACCGTCTTCACATCAGTCTCACGGCTCCGCGCAGCACCGCATGGGCTCAAGACTTTGCGGCCTTTGAGATGAAGGTTAGGCCGAGGTTGTACACTTTGAAAAGGGTCGCTACCCCATTTCAGTTCGGCGCTACGGGGTGTTGAACAGAGGGGTAGTTTCTGAACGTTTTGTCAGGTTTTTGGTTCTGAAAGGGGAACAGTTGGTCCAATCGACACGAAACTTGGTGGGGATCTTCCTTTGGGTGTTCTTTAAGACATCCGCATGGACCCCAACCTTCATCCCCTTCTGACGGGGTGCAGGGGCACATGGGGGTGTCCACCCCCTAGGAAGGGGTTGAAGATGGTGACGTCGGGTACACCACTATGGAAGTGTTTGAGAACAGAAAAGGAACCTCCCTTTAAATTTTCACGCCTTCACTTCAACCCTTAGGGACCAAAATGGCCGATATTCAACCAGGGGTTGGACTTCCGAGGGGGTAGTTTCGGCGGGGATGATCCGATTCGAAAAAAAAACACCTGGGCCGGGTACAGGGGACGTCCCCACAGGATTTTCAGCTCCGTAGGACTTTCCTCAAAACTCACCCCCTGAAGGGGGTGGGGGTGACTCTGGGAGGGGGTGGGTTTGGCGGATCACAACTTCGTATACGCCGATCGAAAGAGGTCAAAAAGTTGGGTCGGTTCATGAAAACTCATCACTTTGTGAGCACTGAAAGTGGCAATTTCGAAGCTGTTTAGACCGATTTTTTTACCCTCCCCAACTGTAGGGGTTAGACAGCTCGTAAGGGGTGGCGCACGGGTTGCGCACTCCGTGAGCCTCAAAACGAATAATGACAGCACCTACCTGCAAAGTCTCAGCGCTGTAGCTCGAAAAACATGGAAATGGCACCAGAGCAAAAAAGTGGACCGCTAATTTTGATCGGCAGTGTAAATTGAGAGGACACTTAGTCCTCTTTCCATCGATCTCGAATCGACTGGTGATTGGTATTGCGTCTAGAGAGTATATGCAACCCCGCCCCGCATGGATCCAGGCGCGGATTAAGGTCCGGCTGACAGGGGGGGCGATGCACTGTCGGTTGCCTACATACAAGGGGTTTTGTGTCGCAAATTGCCTACCTTTCAGGCGGCTATCTAGAGACGATAGGGGGGGGCGATCGCCCCCCCGCCCCCCATTAATCCGCGCCTGCATGCATCACCTCGGCTCATCTCTACACTGTAAACCCAACTGCACTCTAAATGGCCATGGACATTTAGAGTGTGTCTACTTAGTACACACTTCCTTGTGAGTGCATTCAAGTACACAAAAAAGAGTGTAGTACTAAGTACACAGTTGGGTTTACAGTGTACACGCTAAACTGCAAAAACTAACGCCCACCAAAGCACAGAAAAAACTGTATTTTCATTGAAAATTCTGTCCTTGTTTACTGTTTTTTGCTGTGTACTTTTCTTCGAGCCTGGCCTTGCCCTTTTGGACGCGCCGTACGCCTGGGAGCGTGCGAGACCTGTGGGCTCCACAGCCTCATCATCTGAGTGGCTGTTATTCAGCTAATCGTGTGAGGCATAGAAAGAGCTCTTGGGACTGGAGACAACGCGTTTTGCCTTTTGACACGCTTAGCGGGTGCTACAATCACCTCTCTTGTGTTATCCGCTCGTTGCTCGCTTTCGCTAACAAAGACACACAAACACAAACGCAATTTTCTTCACCAAACGGGTTTAGCCCGGTCGGGGGAGTCGAAAACTCGAAATTTTGTGTACACATGAGTACAAGAGTACCGTAAGACCTGGAGTATTCGGAGTTTAGCCGGAGAACAGCCAGAGTTCAACGGAGTACTGTCGAAGTACGGCCACCCTTGTACACAGGAGTACACGAGTTGTCGACCCTTCGGCCCGGAAAACTAATTTTCCTTTTCCCATGCTCGTCCTTACCATGCAGCCGAGGTCCTCGTCGGCGTACAGGCCGGGGAAGTGCTTCTGGTCGCCGCAGTGGAATGACGTGTCCGGCAGCTCAACCCGCGACACGAAGTTGTCGTCGAAGTTCTTATCGTAGCCGACGGGGTAGTATTCCTTGGGAGCGTTCATCACCTTTGGGGGCTCGGCCAGCGGGTACTTGTGTAACACGCTGACGGGCTTAGGCGGTGGTGGCGGCGTGGTCGTCGTCGTGGTGGTCGAAGTAGTGGTTGTTGAGGTGGTCGAGGGGAGGGTTGGAAGGAAAGCCACTGTGGTCATCGCATGCTGCTGTAAATGAATCGCAATTAATTTTATCAAGGGGAGTGAAGATAGGTCCGAACTTGAACTGATCAAGGGGGTGGTGTGAATAATATACACGCTGAATCCAGATACATCGTTGATTTAAACTACCTTCATACTTCTTAATACTTAAAAAGAAAATCGATGCACATGGGCGCTGTCTTTTGTGTGTCTTACTTGCTGCTGCAGGAGTTGTTGCTGGCGCTGCTGCAGCGCTGCCAGGATGGCTTCCTCGCTGATGTTGGACGCCTTGGAGAGTGCGGACACCGAGTGGCCCATTAGCAGGGGCAGGGTACGCAGCGAGGTGGGGGCGGCGTTCGCAGCGGGCATCTAGGCAGATGCAGCTTCGTTAATCCCATTGTTCAGGTTTCGCCGTCAAGGCTTCCCCCGTAAGAAAAACAGTGACCCAATGATGGTTCGTCGCACGACGTGTTTCCGATACCTCCGCCCGGTACGTAACGCTAGCAGGGTCACTGTACCTGGAAGTTCCCAGTCGCGACTTGCAGGGCGTTCTTGAAGGCGGCGGGCGCGCGCACCGGGACTGCCATCACTGTGGCTCCGGACACGGAGGGCAGCAATGTGTTCGCCTGGAGACAAAACATCTAACGTGGTCAACAAGCCGCACTGCTCTAGTCGTGTGCGCACGGATCGGGACTTTGCGCAGACACACCCTATACGCCCCACCATGAATCTAACCATGTAAACAACGTCATCGTATATCTGTTTGAGATGGTGAATCAGTCGTCATGCGAGTCATCGCGGTAATAAGATAACCGGCGAATGTTTAAAGTCACGGCCGGTCACGGCTTAAGTGTTCTGAAGGCCCGGCGAGCAATGATGTTGCACAGCGCAGCACTGCACGGCCGCGCAGTGCCGGGTGCCGGGCGCGCCGCATCGCGTAGCGGCCAGACGCCTTTCAATCGTGGGGTAGGCAGCCCCGCGCAGCACGCGCGGTGGGCGGGCTGACCGACCCACCGGCGCCCCTCCACCCGACTCCACCCAACCCCACCCCACAGCCCACTGCTGACCTGCGCGCCCGGGCCGGCCGGGGCCACGGAGGCCACTCTGGAGATGGACGAGGGCAGCTGCTGGAAGGGTGGCACCTGCTGCAGCTGCTGCACCTGTGGCGCCGCGGCCAGCGGCACGGCGGCCAGGCGGAGGGGTCGCGTCGTGTTCCAGCGGGAGGCGGCCGCCAGGTTGGAGTAGCCGAGGTTCGAGGAGGGCGCGGCGGCGAACACCTGCAGGTGTGGGCGAACAGAGAATGTTAAACGGGGCCACGGGGCGGGAGCCAAGCCAGAGGGGAAGAGAAGGCACACCGAGCGCACGGGCCCCTGCAGCGCGCTGACTGACCTGGGGGTTGGCCATGACGGCCACGCCCACCAGCGGCGCCCCTCCGTCCGCGCCGGGGATGGGCCTGAAGGGGGGCACGGCCTGTTGCAGGTAGCGCGCCTGGGCCACCCTCTGCACCTGCTGCTGCTGCTGCTCCTGCTGGTCCAGCTGCTCCTGCTGCTCCTGCAGACGCGACTGCTTGAGCACGTCCAGGGCCTGGCGGGCCACGGCGTTGGGCTGCGCTGGCAGCAGCCTGGTCACGCCCTCGTCCTGCTTCTTAGCCTGCAACAGCAAATCGATGGGAACTCGTCAGAGAAAACCTTCAGGGAAGATGACGCACTTATGCGGTGGAGTGCTTGGCACAAGCAAGACACTTCCTTCGCTTAATGCGCACTTCAGGTGAGCACATGATGAGATAGTTTAATTTGCATCTGTAAAATAGAAGAGATACATGAAACCGAAGAAAAGGACGGTTTTGGTTTTGTCTTCCTCCGACAGGCAACAAAAACACAAGTTTCCGTTGCCCTTCGGTTTTTCCCTGGCTGGCAGGTGCCGTGGCGTGGGGAACGCATATTGCGTCAAGTTGCAATAAGGCGGCGCCCAAAGCCGTCGAGGTGCGAACCAAGCAGCAACCTACCCGCGCTTCAAGATTCACTTCCCGTGTAAAAATACGTGAAAGTAATTTGTGATTGGTTTGTCATCGGTTAGATGACAATTTATTTCATTAATTTTGTCATAGATTTGTTACTTTTCCCGTACTGAACGTTTTGCCGCTGCCGTTGGTTGAACGAGAAGCTCCTCCCGCCCCTCCCTCATCATCTTTTGCCGTGACGCGACGGGGTCAGGAGGCGATGGGGGGCGCCGTTCCATCCGAATGGCGACATCCACCTGCAGAGTCGTTACGAGATGAGATGTCGTTTAAGGATCACGTCACGTGTTTCTGGTTAGTGGTTAGCGTGGGACCCGGGACCCGCTAATCGGAGCTTACAGCAATAATAAACACAAACATCCGTTCACTCTAAATGTAAAGGGACAATTTTGTCCGTAGATTTGCAACGATTTCGTGCACATCCAGAAAGGATGCAATTTTGTTCCTAAAACTAGACAAATTGTGTGAAACTTCACACAATTTGTCCAATTAAGGGAACAAAATTGCATCCTTTCTGGATGTGCACGAAATCGTTGCAAATCTACGGACAACATTGTCCCTTGACTTTTAGAGTGTTCTTTCCCCGGATCTAAATGCCAAAGGCATTATGTCTCTATCTCTATATCTTTCCCCTACCCGAGCCCGAGACACGTACCGTTGCCCCGGATTAGAAGTGGGGAGGGACTCGTAAAAAATATACTCTCGATTTTTACAACGGTTTTGGTTGATTGGAAAAATTCTTGACAAATCATGTGTTCTCAGCAAATATCTCGAATAAGACTAGAATACTGAACGAAATTGTGGTAGTTAACTTTTATCTGAATTCCATTAGTTGATACATTAGTAAGTAACACGGATCGAAATTTCAACTTGTCTTATTTGGACTGGAAAACGTTGTCTTGCCAAAGACGACAGCGCAGGGGTGTTGTGACGTGCTTAAAAACCCAACGTACTGGAATCGTATGTCTAAAGCCGCAGCGCATGCGCAGGATACTGGAGTTTCCTCTTCATCTCACCTTACCCTGCTTTGCTTAATTGCATCACGTTGCCCGGCCACTACTTGTTAATTTAATAATAGGGCTAATGTCGGCAGTGAGAGTGAGATCTGAGGAGGGAGCCATGCTTCTGGACCCTATATAGTGATCATGAGTGGTCCCTTTCACATTCCCCCACTATAGAGCTCTTCGCGGCGACGTTCAACCAATGGCCAACGCTCCGACTCAAACGCCACCCAGCAGCCGAACCACATCGACAACCAGGAACCAGGTCAGTGTCACCAACCAACCTGACGGGCAGTAGAGGCGCTGCGGTGCAGCACCTAACCCAGCCACTCCCCCCCCCCCTTCTCTCTCTCCCTCTCTCAACGCGGCTGCGTGTCGTCCGAGAGATGATTTTGTGCTGGAAGGACCGAGGGGGTATTCACTACCATAAAACTTGTACAGAGTACTCGGTAATACACAGAATTACCTGGTATTACCGGGTATTACGCCGGTATTACACGCAAAATTTTGCCAATTTATAGCATTTTTGTTATTTTTCGGTATTACATTACAAGTAATACCCAGGTGTAGCGTACAGGGCATTACGGAAGTGAATACCCCCTCGGGAAGGACTTTGCTGTGTGGCCGGCGCTCTGTCATGAGTATTTCCTCCTAAACGAGGGGAAATATCGCACGACACTGGAAGACAGAGGATGCATTCAAGTGTTTTACGTTTTGAAATCTCGGAAAAACGATTTGATTCTTATTTTGAAAAATATAATAGTGAATCGTCATATGACAAAGATGACTCTATTAGACTAGTACGCATAGATGCTCAATTTTAATTGGCAAAGATGGGCGCAAATCGCCATTTGTATTTGCTCCAATTGACCGGCTCAGAGGTACCATTTAATTAATGTTAGCAAGGAACCTGACTGCAGGTATCTCACAATGCACTGAAAATCCAAGAGTGTGCTTTCGCTTTGACAAGCATGCTGATTTAACAGTGAGCTTGGGTAGGCACGGGTAGGCATGTTGGCGGAACGGCATGCTAAGCACCACACTGTTTAATCAGTGTGTTTGCCCAGGAAAACTGTTTAATCAGCATGCTTTTCCAAGCCGAGCACACAGTTCAACAGTACGCTAAGCACACTGTTGGATTTTC